GGCCGTTGGAGTGTATCCTGTCTAGTGAAAGGATTTCTTTGCTAGTCTTTGCATTTGCAGGTATACAACCTCCCTGGTGTAAGAATAGCAAATTTTCTCTTTTTCAGTAGTTGATTTCCTTTTAAAAAAATCTAATAGTAACATCCATCCCTTAAGACTAGCTTTTCTTCTTTGTTCTTGAATCCAGCTGCTATGGAGGATCATTTATAGGAAAGCAAGAGTTAAACAAGCTGGAAGAAGCCAAGCACTACTGAGTTTGCAGCACTGCAGACTGTCAGCAGGTGTTTTATGGGGCATTTAGGTAGCAGCCCACCCTAAACATGAAGAAGAGTCAGGATAAGAATGGATAACGACGAAGTGGACAAAGAAATCAGTTCATATACTGAAGGTATTGCAATATCTTAGAACCTGTACGTTTTCAGTTGAATTGCATAACATTTATCTGAGAACAGTAATATCTTAATGGTACAGGAAGAAGATAGAGGGATGTGATGTGTTAGCCCTTGGGTGGGGGCCAAAACCACATACCCACTCACATAACTCCCCGCCCCACCCAAGAATAGGGGAGAGAGTTAAAGGGGTAAAGGGAAAAAAAGGACTCATGGGTTGAGATAAAGACAATTTAATAACTAAACTACAATAATATTGAAAATAATACTATATACAAATATACATAATGAGTGATACACAGTGACGCTTACCCCCCTCCCCCAACCCAATAACCAAGGCTCAGCCTGTTCCCGGCTAATGATCCCGGAAGCAGGGAGAGTCCCGAAAAACCGCACTCATGAAACGGAGATAACAGTCCAAGCATCGCAGATCAAGAGCTGACCGGGGTGTGGGGGGGAAGGCCTTGGGAGAGGGACCACCTGGAGCGAGATGATCTGGAGCCAAGAGAGATACAGAAACCAAAGGGACCCGGAACAAAAGGGATGGTCTTCCGGAGGGTCCTCAACTACATACTGGGCATGACGTGTATGTTATGGAATAGATTATTGGCTACTCTGAATTTCAATCTTGAACCTAAGATCAAATCCTAGGCTAGCAGCCGACTGTGCTCCCTCCCAGCCCCCCCTCCCCTGTCTGCGGGGAGCAAGGAAGCTGAAAGACCTTGAGATCCTGGAAACAACTGTAAACATCACTTTTTATCAGCTTTCTTCTGAGCACAAATCCAAAACACAGCCTCTTGCTAGCCACTATGAAGAAAGTTAACTCTGTCTCTGCTTAACCCAGGACAAGGGAATGTCCCATGTTCACGTTTACTTCTGTTTCCTATCTTGAATGTTGCCCATATTGATACTACAAGAACTATGGCATGCAACGATCTTACTTCTGTGGCTTCAAGTTAAGCAATAGATTATAATGTATATATTATGGATTTAAGCATCTTCCCCTATTTTATATGCATTATTAAATAATGAGTTAAATTAGAAATGCATTCTTCTCAATGTGATAAATTAATGAGTAAAGAGCACCATGTTACAATATTACTGCCTCAAACTGTTAAACAGTTCTGCAAATCTTATTATGTGAAGCAGGGAGAAAGGTGTTGTGCACTCTCTTGTCCTTAAAACCTGGAAATTAAAAAATAAATTTATATTCAAATAAAAAAAATTCAAACTATGAAACAACTAATTCTAACACAAAATGCGTATGCCTCTGTAACTGAAGATAAGTAATATTCAGCAAGGCTTGGCAAACCCTAGGCTAAGAAAACTGAAGCACCTTATCCAGCTGAAACTATGGGGCAATTTTTAGGTAAACAGAACGTAATTTTTCTACCTGAATCTGACTAAGCTGCCTGCATGTGAATTCTGTATCCTAAAAACTACAGGCAATTATGTAACAATAATAATTTTAGTGTATTCCATGATTTTCAGGAGAAATTATATTTGGAATTCCTTGCTGCAAGGTCTTTGAAAGTTTGTGCAGTTTGAAATGCCTTAATTTCTCAAGTAATATCTCTTTGGGAGTAATTGAGACTATAAAGTGAACACAGGCAGAGTTTTAATGGCTCTACTCAGCCTGAGAAAAGGCATCACAGAGTGCAGATCTAGTCCTCTGTCAAAGCGTTTTTCTGAGTTTATATTTAGGCTTTTTAATTCTTAGTCATATAAAAATACAATGGTCTTCAAAGTGTGGTTTTTGCTGAGCCCTTCTTTGGCAGCGGACATGCACTTCACCATACTGACTGTTTTGACCATTTCAAACAGAGACGATTTCATAAGACACTTATGTATTACTGATTACATTGCATGTTTATTCATGTGGTAGCAAATAGACAAGCAGAAAGGTAACCAGCTGGATTTTAGATCTACTTTTGATACAGCTTTAGATTTTAGATGTAAGTTGGGTTAAAAATGTATTTTCCCTGGTTACGTGATTTAAAAATTATGGGGAGAAAAAAAAAATTTTAGAAGCACTTTCATTGCAAATTGATGTGACAATGCTGTCTGAAGTGTTTTGTGGAAGAATCCTATGACAAAATGTGCTTGTCATCAGTACTGAGTGAGATGAAAAGTACCACAACTTGACTTGGAGCATGTGGTTAATCAGTTTATTTAATGTATTTGATCAGGTTGTCATGATGTGTGAAGTATCTGAACATTGTCTGTGGTAGAGATCAAAACATGAACTTTGCAAACTTTTCATTTTTTGGATAAGACATTATACATGGAGCTACACCTGTGTGTGTCTTTAACAGAAAGGTGGTTCACTGAGCCATGAACATTTCCTTCAGAGTCTGACAGAGAATGGTTGGTAAAGCGCTGTACAAAGAGAATCCTGAACCACATGGACTGCAGCTTCTAATCTAAAAAAGACCATACTGATGGTCTTGGTGCACATCACCATTTCCAGTGTAAATTGTGGCAAAAGGATATAAAGCATATCACAGTAATCTGTAGGCTGAGGAACTGAGTTCCTCTGATGTACCTGTGCCTTTATTTCCTAATGAAATGAGTCAGACCTGAGACTTTTCCATTTCGAGGTCAGATCCATAAAGATTACCCTAAGATGATGAGCACATCATGAGACATACATTCTGTATTTACAGTATCACCACATTCATCTCTTGATACAATATAGAGTATCTTGGGTCCTTTCTCCCAGTTCCTTTGCTTTTTGGTGTTAAAAACCTGGAAAAGAATACCTGTCAACTTCCTCTAAGCCCTTGGGGTTTCATCATTCTTAGTTGAAATTTTTAGTGATAGTTAACTACATGCTACATTCAGACACAAGACGAATTAGGAAAGTACAATCTGATGATAAAAGTCAACTTGTTAAAATGTAAAGTACATGGAAATGGGTACATCTGCAGAGTTTAGATCACTTTACATATAAGCATAGAACTTCCCTTAAAAACAAATCATACCTAATTCTAATTCTTCTACCTAAAAGAGAAGGAATTTATTTTGTTTTATTTCAACTGATTAAATAACCCCACTCCTTCAAAATGTTCTTATCCTGTGTCCGTCTCTTGTCTATTACATGTAAATTAACATACAAGGTCAATCAAATACTATAAATAAAGGATTTTTTAAACTTCCATTTTCTAAGCTACATTGCTGATCAATGTGAGCTAAAATATAATTTTAAAGAGGTCTTTTCCTCTGAAACCAACCTGCTCAACTGTAATTAGGTATTCATGTGGCCTTACAATCTCATCACTGCAGTCTTTGAACATTGCGTGAATCCTACTAGTTTTAAAATAATTTTCTGCCACACAGATGTGACAATCAGTTTTAATTTTTATTGTTTCTTTTTGTAACATTTACACCTGTCTGCCAAAGAGAAACTTCTTACAGCGAGTGAAGAAAGTGAGAAACTCTGAGACTTGAGCAAGTTCGAAAGAGGAAGAACAATCCTGGTTACTGTTGAAAATGTTTGCTTTGCTAAGCAAACTTCCTGAGTAAGGTAAGGCAAGGAAATGCCTTGCTACCTTGTTGATCTAGTCACTTGATTTATATTCAGGAGGAGCACTTTTATTAGTAGAGTATACACAATGAGGAACCAAACAAAAAATTTTATTATAAAGCTAACTTATAGAGCTTTCAAAACACTTTGTGTATTCATGTGCAATGTATGTTACATGACTGTCCCTATTTTTAAAAGCCAAGGATGTAAATGATAAACATGAGTAGGCAAGAAAAAGCAAGTCAAGGTGGACAAAACAGATTGATGCTATTTGCAAGGCATGAACAAATGTCAGCTGCATTTGTTTTCCTTAGCCAATAACAGAGGGGATTTGTCAATGCATTGCAGAGCAAGTAACTTTACAAAACCAGTTGAAGCCTGAAGGTGCTCCTGGAGGGGCTTGAAAAGCATTTGAAGTGATTGTTATCAGAAGAGTGAGGTGAGAATTGAGGTAAAAGTAAAGCATAAAGATTGAATGATCAGATGTTTGAGTATAAGTTAATGGAATTCAGCAGTTTTGGGGACTTGGGTTTTTTTTTTTGATGTTTTTATTTGAAGAAGTAAAGAGTACTGGCTAAATTGTTTTACCTCAATATTTGGGATGAATGGGGGGAAAAGGTAAATCTAGAACTTAGTTGGTGCAAAATTGAAGTTTTGATAAAAACAATGAGATCTGAAGCAATTACAGGATGATTAGAGGTAAATGATTTTATGATACTATAAAAGTTCGGTCAGTTTTACTGATTACACTTATACCTAATTTTCTCAGGTTAGTTCAAAGTCAGGGGAAAGGATACATACATACAGCTGCAGTGAATCTGCTCACTTAAGTTAAGGAAAGTGTATACTGTTTGTTAGGCATTATGAACCAAAATGTGCTCGAACACCTCTGAGCATGTGGTGGGAGCTATAAGTGTGTAGTTCATACCTAAAGAGACAGGGGAATTGTATTTCACCTGTTGAGAATTAAATTTCAACCAAAAAATTCTGAAAACACTGGTTTTGGTTCTGTAATGAAATAAACTGGTGTATACAGTTCATTTTTAAAAAGCCATTTGTTCCAAAACAAGGTTGGTGACAGTATTTTACAAATTACCTTTGACACTAGTATATTTTATGAATTGTCTTGACATTGTTCTTCTTCTCCTTATGGGCTGATACTGACCTCTCTTACTGCTGCAACGCCCTGCTGTGAAAGCAACAGTACAACAGCAAAGGAAGATGAGAGAAGAGCAAAGAACAACAGGAATCAACCAGACACCCAAAGCTGCAGTTTCCCAAGCAGGTTCCTCATCATCCGAAGTATAATTCCTACCACTGTAGCCCTTGGTTTCATTTAAGTGTTGCTTACTGCTGTTCAGATGAGGAGGAATGGGCATATGGGATAACCCCTCGGCAGACTTGGATATCAAAGCTGAGTGTACAGTCTTGTCTGAGCTGGTGATTGACCTAGTGCTTATGGAAGTTGTGCTTGTCCTCTTAGCAAAATTATCATCTGTTGGAAAAGTTTCTGCCCTGTAATAAGTAGAAACCTCAGTTTTTTGGACTGTCAGCATTGTGCTGGAGGTGTAAGTGTTCGCTGTTAAGCCGTGGCTGCTGGTAGAAGATGAAGCTTGGAGCAGAAGAGAACTTGACGTGGCATTATGATGCTGGCATCTTTCCCACGCGGTGGCCTTTGTGCTGTTTTGCCTTTCGTGTTTACTTGGTGAGGAGTGAGTATTTGGCTCTTTGGATGTCATTTTTTTGAAAATAAGAAGATCTGGATCAATCCCTATTAAAGCATAAACGAGGTTAGTTTATGTGGTAAAAGCTCACCTGCACACCCACAAAAGGAGCACTTAGAGACAATGGCAGGTTGGGGACCCCAAGTAATACTCATCAAAACCTTTTGGCGAGTCACTGCCGAGGGCTATGGGACACCTTATGCAATGCAAGGGAAGTGCATTTTGGGATTGCACAGGACTTACTATGGGATTCTTAGGGAAGGAACCAAAGGTGAGGAAAGGGAGGGATATAAGCTACAGGGGAGTAGAGGTGTCAGAGCAAGCTGTGTTTGTGTGTGTGTGAGACACTCTGCACCAGTGACTGGAGGTGGGCTGCACCCTTGGGGGCTTGTAGGTCTGGGTGACAGCAACTGGGGTCCAGACTGGGCAGACTGAGTGTCTGAGCCCAGCTGCCGGGGGGATTAGCTTTGCACATATGTTTGTATATATATATTCACTAGCAGATCTCCATCCTGTGCAGCCAGAAAAAATGATGAGGCTCCTGGTGCTACTTGCATTCATGTGTCTGCTTTGTGCATTTGTCTGTATTAGCTGTGTGGCTGGCTGTGTATGTATGTGTACTTGTGGTATTTATGTGTGCTTTCTGTCCTTGTGCCTAAGAGGAGTGCATTTTCAGCCTTGCTACGGGTTGGATCTGGGGACATGAAGCAGTGGCAGCCTTGCATCTCAGTCTCTCAGATCTGGTACAGTATTTTGCCCAAGCATAGTATTGATTGGGTATTTAAAATGAGCATGAATCTTGAGAGCTGGGTGCATCTTCAAGGTCCTTTCTCATATACCGAATGGAAGAAAGGGCAGAAGTATTCTCAGAAGTACATTAATGAAAAAGGAAAAAAGTCTTACGCTTTTTTAGGATTGCAGGCTACTTCAGAAGATCTTCTAGCACAGCAACTGACCTAGTATTATTTTAACATTTCCTGTAGTTGCTATGTTTTCAGCCTTATAAAAGAAATGCTTAATTACCTGTTGTGATGTTGTACAAAATGACATTGATTCTAGCCTTTAGTATGCAACTTTCCAATGCTGGGCAAGATATGTGCAGGCAATTCATATTCTCATTAATGGCTCCATGGTAGAACACTGCTAGATTGCAGGAAACTGTGATACAAAAAGAACAAAGTCGAGCTTGTCAGCATAATGATCATTGCATTTTGCATGTTATTATGTTATTATGTTATTTAACATCAGAAGATCATTAATACTATGCAGCTCTGTAATACTTTAAATATGTAGTTTTCTCATTATAATGCAAACTAATTAAGCATCCAGTCAGAAAAGTAGAACAACTTATAATTATGTTCTTATTTTACATCTGCAGAAAAGGAATAGAGTAGCCATCTGAATTCTAAATATGTCTCTGATTAAATAAAATCATATGCTTTAGCTGGTAGTCCTACCAGTTGCCTTCCTTCACATCTCAAATGCAGTGAGTGGACCATTTCTAAAAGTAAAGTTACCAAGGAAGACAACTTTGATGTGTTTGCTCTTGTGTAATATACCTGTCTACTTGAAACTGGACTGCAACCATTCATTTCACCCAGACAATTAAAAACCATCCTGAACTACAATAAGTAAGTGAGTTCCTGCCATGCTGCCAGTTCCCATTCATTTTCCTTGCTTGCCTTTAGGCTATTGCATTTCTGTGAATAGAGTAGTTTAGACAATTGTTCATTTATGTTTGCAGGTTCAGTTTTATCTTCCCACATCAGAAATCAGGGCTAAAGTAACAACGAAAAAATGCCTGAACAACTTGTCACTGAAACCCAATTTTCAAAAGTGTATAGATACCCAAATCCTAGTGGTTTAAGATTTATATTGAAAATATATACTGAAATACTTAGGGTTAGAGTCACACTACATAAAAAGCAGGAAAAATTCTTCTTTCAGAGCCTTACAGTACGTCAAAATCTCAAGTCAAAAGTTAATTTTATTTTATTGTATCAATATGCTGCTCTCAATCCATTCTCTGCCCAGCCTGTATTTGTGCTGGGATTACCCTGCCCCACGTGCAGGACCTTGCACTTGGCCTTGTTAAATTTCATGAGGTTTGCATTGGTCCACCTCTCAAGCCTGTCCAGGTCCCTCTGGATGGCATCCCTTCCCTCCAGCGTGTCAACCACACCACACAGCTTGGTGTCTCAGTCACTGAGATCAGCTGCTTTGGAGCTGACCCAGCTCCGACAGACCGACTGATCGCGAGGCACAGGGGGGTATTCGGAAGATTCCTTTGACAGGAAAACCCCGGCAGCAGCGTAACCCGAATACTGCTCCCAGCTCTCCCACGAGAGGCTGATGTGGCACGGGAGTTGCCGGAGCAACCGGGGGCAGAAGCCTCACAAGGCGGCCGTAGGAG